CATCATCTTCTTGTTCAGGGAGCTTAGGCACTTTCTTTAAATCTACACTGGGCAAAGTAGCTTCTTGACCACCATCTAGATCTGCTGGTTTTTGTTCTGGTTCAGGAATTTTGAAAATCTCAAACACCTTAGTATATTGCCTATACATAGGTTTAAGGTCGAACACGCTTACAGTTTCTTGTATGTATTCAACCTCAATTTCTAATTTTTCAACCTTGTTCTCTTTGTCTAAAGATGTTATTTCTTTTACTTTTTGCTCATTTTTCAACTGCTTCTTTTTTTTTTTCTTATACTTTTTCTTCCTTCTTTTAGCTACTTTACGATCTTTAGTAGACATTTTAACTACTTGTTCTTCTTCTTCATCATCATCGTCATCGTCATCTTCATCATCCTCAACATCTTCAATTATAGGCTGTACAACTTCAGTGTTGTCTTCTTGTGAATATTCTGTTGCTTGAATATAGTTCAATGCTTGTTCAAGGGCTGGGGGAAGAGCAACATCTTCACCAGGTGGAATTAGCAAATCTTCTTCGAAAACTTCTGGTTCATACATAATTGAACCACACAAGAAATTTGAACAGATATTTTAATTATAAAATAAGCTTACGGTTGTAAATATTTTTTGAAAGCTCTCGAGTAGGTACTGCTGAATGAATTTTATATCCAGGTATTCTATGTTTCTTAAAAATGGAACACAGTCACTATTTCCATCAGCAATCACCACTATTTCACCTAGAAAATATGGATTTAATTATTAAATATAGATTACATGTAAATAATATGGTACCGCGAAAAAATAACCCCGGAAAAAATATCCCCGGAATTTTAGACCCCGAAAAAAAGAACCTCGAAAAAATAACCCCGTGAAAAAATAACCCCGTGAAAAAATAACCACGGGAAAAAGCCCCATATGAGATGTTGAAAATTAATCTAAATATTGGTGTTAATATGTCATTATGTAAAAAAAATTACAAAATGTATAACATACCTTACGTACAATTGTTATGTTTCCACAAATAACGTTAATTTTGGATTCAATAATAAATTATTTATTACCTACGATAAAAACGATTCAGAGCAAGGTGCCAGTATGTCAGACTTCTGTCATATCGATCAGATATATAATAACAAGGTACAGCGACGAATAAGAAAGGTACCTTTATCTTTAATGTTCTAGAAGCGGTAATTTATAAAATTTGTGTATTTATAAAATGTCCTGAGCGTGCTCATTTCTCAGTATTACTACAGTGCTACAGTACTACAGTGGTCACTATATAGTGTGCTTTGTTTTAATTTCTATTTGAATAGTATTAGTGTTATGGACATTCTAGATATTTTCGAGAGCCAGAAGGGCAAAGAAAAGTTGGCATTTAAAAAATATATGTATGTTGTACACAAAGAGTGTTTAAATTTTATAAGGTGGAAATGCTGCAAAAAAAATAGAAAAAATCAAAAACTGCTCAAAACAGATTAAAAACGTTATGTGAACGGTTAAATTCAAACGAAATTGAAGTAGACATGTTTTTGAAAAAAATATCCTTTAATTTAAGAAAATGACTATAAAATAGATATTAATATTATATATATTATAGGTTAGGTTTTAGGTTATTATTATTGTATTACCCATTTATGGTGAATAATTTTTAAAAATTTGACAATTTGTTTTAGGCCTGCATGTACAACCTTACAAATCAATTTTATTACAGTTATTTTGGTTATTTTTTCCGTGGTTATTTTTTCACGGGGTTATTTTTTCGGGGGTTTTTTTTTCGGGGTTATTTTTTCCGGGGTTATTTTTTCTGGGGTTATTTATTAGGCAAATCAAATAATATACTTGTTAGATGTAAAATAATTATGAAAATTAGTTAGGTATTATTGGGTAAAAGCTATCAGAAATTGTCAATTGAAGTTTGCCAATAACTTGATTAAATTAACCATTATCTAGAAAATAAAATAACATACATAATATAACATACTATGCAAAACAAAATGCAAATTAGTTATCAATTTATCAGTTACAGATTAATGATTATATGGTATTTAATTGTATGTATTTTTACCTGTTTGATTTAAATAATAACATAATATATAGGTTTTGTATTCAGTCTTAAACAAAACAACCATATTTAAAACATATACAATTGGGTACTTGTTTGTTATCAACCCACCTACAAGTGACTGTAGTTTTACTCTGGTATTTTTTTCATAAATACAATTTAATGTACATACTTAAAACAGTTACAACTACACATAGTATTATTACAAGCTTATATCATGATAATATAATAAAATAGGTAATTATTAAATTTAACTATTATAAGATTTATTTACCGTTTGTCTATGAATATATCGCGTACTGGACTTCCTAACAAATAAATTAGCAAGGTACAGAGACATATTGAATTTTTAGATAAAAATACTGCCAACACGGTTGACTGGTCTTCTGGTGGCGAGAAAATAACAATCAAAAGTCAAAAACTGAATAGGAAGAACAATAAAATTATATTTTTATACCTTCACAAGAGTTGAAAGTATGTTTGGTAAAGTATCAAAAAAATATATAAATATAACTTTATGTTAGGAAAGTTTATTGAAAAAAGTCCATAGCTAATAATGATTACAAATGACAATTACCAAAAATGGTTTAATTACAGTTATCAATGGGTAAAGTTTACGTGTTGTTTTGTAATTGATCATTTACAAGGCAAGAGTCAATAACTTCTACACGAATAAGAAAAAGTGATGCATAATGCACATAGTGAACTTGATACAGGTTTTAACTTTCAGGTGTATCTGAAAGTTCAGGGTTCAGCACACAATTTGTATTAAAATCCACACACTATTTATACAAAACAATTATGATCAACATACCATTTTATTTGGTTACACTCCGGAGACGAACTTCCATCGGGTATGTTACTTCTATAGACCACACCGACACCGATAGTCACGAATACAACACGGGGAAAATGTATGTGCTTGAGTAGTTGTGTCGGTCTGTCGTCCGTGTTTGGTTGATAGTTGGATGATAAACATTGAACAGATAACAAAATAGACGCCGTGAGAATAACTGGGAGATTGTAAATTTTCGCGCTATTTTTCGATAAAGTTAGGTTAGTCGGTTTTTATAATTTTGATTTTTGGCGATCGTTTCTATTTCTCTAATTTTTTCTGAGTTTAGAGTATCTCACGAATCACGATCAGCAACAGTGTAAAACTGTAAAACAGTTCATGCTTGCGACTAAAGAAGAAATCCTTTTTCACAATTCACTAGTCGTGGAATAGCTTCGACATTAACCCATGATAAGGTTTGGTGGTCTTTACTCTTTAGTAAGGTAAGGTTATTTTATCATGATTTAATCTTTAACTATATTTTCAATTTTGCCCCTTGCCAAGTTTCTTTTCAAATTTCGAGCATGCCCCATTTCCCCATAGACCAAAGTATTAAAGTATACGTCTATTGAATAATAACTATAAAATATTTAAATGTATATAGTTCTTGATGAAATGCCCATTCTTATGGTTAATCTTTTTTCTGCAGAAGTGCCCTAATCCCAATTACCCAATTACTAACCTAGTCACTGCAGAACACAGAAACTCAGTTAAGTGGGATTCTGTTTGTCCTAAAGGTTTAAGAAGACGTTACACCAACATTTGTTGTCTCTATCTTATAAGTAACATAGCAAATTGTTCTCTCAATAAAACACTTTTCGCTCTGTTAGTTTAAAAATAAGAGTGAATTGACCTAGTTTAAAATTTAAAGGTAAGATTATTATCTAGACAATCTCATAATCTTTTTATTATATTTTAATTTTAAAGCAAGTTATGAGTATTTTAAGATGATCAAACAATTTATAGTTATAAAATACTCATAACTCGCTTTAAAATTAAAATTTAATATAAAGCCCATGAGATTCCTAGATAATAATCTTACCTTTAAATTTTATAAGAAGTCAATTCACTCAAATTTTTAAACTAGCGGCTCTGAGCGTAGGTACAATTTGCTATGTTATTATTACTAAGATATTATTCCCTTAGAAGGATTAATCCCTGCTAACAATAATGCCGCCACTGGGTGACTTCCCCCTCCTGTAAACCTAATCGTCATCACATTTACTTATTGTATCACATGTAAATACAGATTGTAAATATATTATGTTTGTTCAATAAAAAAAAAATAAACAATAATAAGTATAAAACAGAAGAGATATTAAAAGCGGCATTAATGTATGATTAAGATATACCAGCTAATTCTCACCTGGAAATACAAGCTGAATTAGAGCTCTGGAAGACGAAATGTGCCAACACAGAAAATCCAAAACCCCAAACTGCGGTTGAAACATTGGTACATTGTAAGGTATTTTACCCAAACATTAAAATATTACTACAAATTTTTGCAACTTTTACAATAACATCAGCAACAGCTGAAAGATCATTTTCTTCCCTAAGAAGACTGAAAAATTACATGAGATCTTCTATGACAGAAGACAGGCTAAATGGGTTAGCAGTGCTGCATATACATAAAGAAATACCCATCGATATCGACGATGTCATAAATATATTTTCTCGACAGAAGCAAAGGCGAATGAAAACTGAAGATTGGTCAAAAGACTATTGCACTTATTATTATCTTTTTTATTATTTTAAAATATATTATAATTAATATACATACGTACTAAAATTATATATTTTGTCTTTGTGTAATACAATTTATAGCCCCCCCCCCCCCATTTCATATTTCTAGATCGGCCCCTGCTAGGTACCAAACACTGTTGAGCCATTTTTAGATGTATATGTAGCTGATAAATTATCTACCCACGTGGTTGACTTATTAGTTATTAATATTAAGTCTTACAGTACTTACACAATACATAGCTAACATTTTTTGTATTTTATTGATCCTTATTATGGTTGAATAATGTAGAACAATATTTATTATATACCAGATTCCTATATAATAGTCTATTTTGTATTTTTTAGTTGGCATTTAAATCCTTAAGATGATTAAAATCGATAACTTATCACCTTCAAAAATGGATGATATTGAAAGTACGTCTGACGATGAAGATGATAATTTGACATATGAACAACAAAGAGAAAAAAGAATGAAAAAAAATGAAGAAATGTTGGAGTGAGTTATTTAACCTTAAAATTAATATTCTCAACAGTTAAGAGGATGCATTTGTTGTCTCCGTCTTACACATGTACGACATAGCAAATGTTCGTTCACTAGTTTCAATAGTGTGCTGTTAGTTTTGATATTAGAGTGATTTGACCTATTATACATTTTTTAGATATTAACATTATCTGTCCTTAAGCATTTGCTTTTATTTGATATTTTAATTAATCAAGCGAGAGATGATCGTTTTTAATTTTTGATATTTCACATACCCATATCTTGCTTTAAAACGAAAATTTCATAAAGTCATAAAGCTTAAGCACAGATAATGTTCTTACCTTAAAGTTTTATAATAGGTCAATTCACTCTAGTATCAAAACTAACAGCACATTATTGAAACTAGTGAACGACAATTTGCTATGTCGTACGTGTGTAAGACGGAGACATCAAATGTATGGGTAGCATCCTCTAAATGTTTAAATATTAAGCCAAATATAGTGGCACGGGGGGAGCCCCTTGGGCGGGGTTGAACGTCATTCCCCATGTGGATTTGATATTCGCTCCCCCAGAACTAGGATATATCCGCCACTGGCCAAATTCGGTAAGTCACGCTGTCTGATAGGTCACATACTAAACGAATACCTAAAATTTAAATCATTGTACATCTATAATTTGTTGATAATTAAAATAATGTATATTAATATTTCAGTATACTTGGTGTAAATCAGGCTGCAAAAACATTGGTTAATTGCTTACAAAAACAGACACCAGTTAAAAAGTCTAAACCTAAAAATACAAGCTTGTAAGTATTAAATGTTTTGATCATGTCCCTTAGTAATTTTCATTCAACTTCCTAATTTATAATATATTTTTTTTAGAAAACCTGAGAGACGTTCATTGAGAATAGCTAATTTGCCTGCATCTGAAGATTATCATCTCCCTGGGGAATCTGAATTAAAATCTAACAATTCTGAAAGTTCTAAGAAATATGATTCTTATGAAACTAATTTTAAAGATCAAAGTTAGTACCTTTATATACTTAAATTACCCCTTTTTTTTGTGTGCCCTTCACTTAAATAGTCCCAACTCCAAATGTTTTTTCCTTCAAGTCTGCTCACGCAGCCAATTTTTACCAATTCCATCCAATAACAATCTTTTCCGCGACAATCTGTAGGAATGACTTGTTAGTATGGGATACTTGTGGGGATACTCAGAACAAACTAATTGCGTATTATTGTACTACTTTTTATCCAAGTTTAAAAAAAATATCAGTGTGATAAGTACCCAACACAGCTACACCCAATCTATGTTTTCTGTTTGTAAACTACATTTAAAAAATAAATTATGATCCGTTTCACCGCATTTGCCAGAGTGTATGCCTTTAAAGAAAACTTACTTCACTAATTACTAATTATTTTTTAAGAAATAAATAGTTGTAAAATGTAATTAAGATATATTAAGATTATGTTATTTACTTAAGGATCTATATCAATACCAGAAGAAGACTCTGATTTTGTTGAAAAACTGAATGATGACTTAGCCATTAAAGAAGCTGTTAAAGATTTTCATCTGTTACCAAGTCATAAGTAAGTAATAAGTTTTAAATTATTAATAATTTATATTTCCTAAATGCTTAAATTGGAAAATGTTTCATTCTATTTGTATTTTCTAACTGACTTTCACTATGTCCCATTAAAAAGTATATTTTTCTAAGCCTCATAACTAATGTATTATAAATAATTTCATTTTTCACTATTAATATTAGAAGTCTCAATTGAATGTGTGAACTAATATGTACACAAACACGAAGTCCGTGTACACGTGAACGAAAAATGTATATTCATTGTATAGTGCGTTTATTGACGAATATTTGTTTAGGTGATATTGTAAAGTGGTGCGATTTTTAATGGTAATCGGCCTTTTTGTATACTTAGTGTGCTAACTTATTAGGGTTCCGTACGGTAAAACAGAAGCCTATTACTAAGGCTGTTCTGTTCATCCATCCGTCACCAGGCTGTATCTCATGAACCATGAAAGTTAGAAAGTTCAAATTTTCACAGATTATGTATTTCAGTTGATGCTATGACAACAAATACTATAAATCTTTTTTTTTTATTTTTCGAGTTAATTGAGGGATGGAAGATTAACCGCGTTAGCATTACTTCTTCTCAATACTAAAAATCCTAAAATATATAATCCAAGCAGTGTTGCCAACATAGCTGATGATGGTACGGAACCCTTCGTGCGCGAGTCGGACTCGCATTTGGCCAGTTTTTTTTTACTATTATTGTTCATTAGTTGTAGATGAAATAAAATAAAATTTAACCCGTAATGTCGTCCACACATTTAATCATAAATAAGTTACCTCCTAATATTGTATTGCGCATTTATTTGTCGTGAGTACAATCTTGAATGGATGTACCGTTTATTTTATCAAATAGCAACAATTGTTTTACCAACAAGTATAAGCATAGGTTATTTTTTTTCTGTATTGTGCTTTTGTCAAATATTACATTACAATATTTATACTAATGGGTAAAAAAAAAGTTGGGTATGGGAATATGTTAAAGGAAAAGGGATAAGGCATTCTTTGGATTATGTGAGATGAAATAATGAACATTATTATGTTGGTGGAACAACTGGGTCTTTAATAAGACATTTAAAAATAATACATAAAGTTAATCAACCAGAGACATCAAAATTCAAGAGGTATACACATCAAAAAATAATGTTTCTACATCTATGTCTATATTATCGTGAATTTATTCATTTTTATTAATACAGCAATATATGAGATAAATCTATTAAATGTTAATTTTAATTTAACATGTATACGTGAAAGTGTGTACACCTGACAGCATAGGGAACTCTAATTAATATATTAAACATTATTTTATTTATATTTAGATTTGTTCATGTGTTAAAAAGTCTGGATATGTATACACCATCACTAAAAGTGTGTGAAAAACGTATCTACTCTCTTGCAATTCATCCATCGGAAACTTCTTTGATAGTTGCAGCAGGGGACCTGAGAGGAAACATATGTGAGGAAAAAATATAATTAAATATTTTTACTATGGAATTTATCACATAACAATAATTTTGTTGTAAATTTAATATGTTAACTCATAAGTCATAAGTAATAATTCAATTTTGTAGCATTGTACAACAATAGAAATTCAGAAATGCGCGAGTATAGACTTCATGATGCTCCTGTTAATTGCATTTCATTTTGCACTTGGGATCCACACAAGTTGTTTTCAACTAGTCATGATGGGTCGGCCAGATGTGGTGACATTGTTAAACGAACTTTTGATGTTGTCAGTAAAAATGTTTTCACTTCAGAATAGACTTTATAATTTTTGTATGTAGCTATGTCATTTAAAGTTTTACTATTTAAATAAATAGATCTATAAGACAGACTGGAAGGGTCAAAGTAAATCAAAAATGAACCATGCCACATGGCACACTGAATTTGAAAGAAATCTTCTCATAGGAAATGGTATGTTTGTACTTTGTACGCATGACACCTTTTAACTGTTACAAGATATCAAGATTTTATTATTTTATGTTTAAGGTTCTGGTCATGTAGATTTGGTTGACACACGAACACCAGATAAAATTATTAACACTGCCTGGTGCCATGAAAGATCTGTGCGTACAGTTCAATGCCACCCATTGGAAAAACATCACTTTTTAACTTCATCTGGAATTGGGTAATTACTTATTGCTATTATAATATTATGTTAAACTGTTATAAAATCTGTAATATTAGCATCTAAAATGATAGCATTTAAATGTAGTTTTAAAAACATTTAGCTTTATAGTATAGACTATTGGTAATATATTTTTGTGGTGTTTGTTTCATTAACCAGTAAAATATAATTATATGTATACTTATAGAGAAGTTTCCTTGTGGGACATAAGAAATATGACTGACCAATCAATTAATCCAGTTTTACAATTTGAGCATCCTAAATCATTGACAAGTGCATTTTTTTCTGCCTCTGGTACTAAGATGGTGTCAACATGTAACGATGACAACATTAGAATCTTTAATACTGATAGATTAAATTCAAGTGCTACAAGTAAGTTAAGAAACCGGTTTTCTATAAAAATATTTATTAACTAATTATAAAAATACTGTGGCAGAACAAAAAATAAAAATTATCCACTTAGACCCACATTTGTATGTAAAACAAGATATACCCTAGTGCAACAGTTCTAAGCCTTATTATATCCGTGTACCACCTACACAGTTTGAAAATTTTCCTGAACCACTTGACTGAATAACCTTTCATTTTTTATTATCAAAAGTGTATACATTGTTATACATGTATGGAATTCATATTTATTAAAAAATAAGCATTTACAAAAATGTGCAAAAATTAAATTAAACATGAACAATTATTATTTATGTTATTATTAATATCAAATAAACCAAATAATATTTAGGTAATGTGAATAATAATCCATTCCATTTTCTTTATAAAGGTAGTTTTTCTTCATTTACCAACTAAGAGGTCTCTGTGTACCACAGGTTGAAAAACACTGCCCTAGTGGATGTAGTGGCAAAAATGTCAAAACTAACTGGACAAAAAAAATTTATAATTTTTATTTAATATTTCATTATAATTTTTTTAATTATCATAATTACTTAGAAGACAAATTGATAAATATAAAAATTAACTTAGAACAATTATTTAATGATAGAAAATAGATAATGGTTCAACAGTAATTTTCATCTATCTTTTTGATGAATAAAATGTTATTCTTGATCAATTAACATGCATATCTTTCCCATTTAACTAAGCACTAAAAATTTGGGTTTTTCTATGCAGTTTTATGTACAAAAAAATAACATTTGTTCCAAGTTTTGTGACCTAATTTGAGGTGCATCAGTGCTAGTCAGACAAGATCAATATTTATGAAATATTAATTTAAATATTTTTTTTTTTAGAACCCATAAACATTATTCCACATAACAATCATACAGGACGTTGGCTTTCTGTATTTAAAGCTAAATGGAATCCTGGAAGAGATAATGAATTCTTCGTTGGATCAATGCTATCACCAAAAAGAGTATGTTTAATAATTAATACTCAGTTACATTAAAATAGCTTTTAAGTTTTAACAGAATATTCTTATATGAATATTCCAATTAATAATTTAAAGGATTGTTAGTAAGACTATAGAAATATATGTTAATATATTGACTGATGATATTATATTTTCGATAATTATACCCCAATAACTAGAATTTGAAGGCAATATAAATAATAAAATATTAAAAAAGCATTTTTATGTAAAATAAAATTAACTACCACATACTTCGACAAAGTGACCTTCCGATGTTCACTGAAGTAATAGGTGCGTATTTCATTGATAATTTAACACAAAATATTTAAAAGGGGGAGGGGAGCATTTATTGGCTAAAAATAATGTTTACCCATTAGCATAGAAATTAAATGAAATACATTTTTCTATCTTTATCTAAAACAAAAAGGTATTTGAGTGTGTGGTTTGATTTGAATGAAAGCAATTGCTTGTAATAGTTACTAATATTAATAATGAATTAATTTGTTGAAAAATACTAGACTAAATATTTAAAATTGTAAATGACACTGATAATATCATTAATCTTTATACTAGTACAATACCTATGTAATTTTTATCAAATGTAATGTATTCTTTTATTAAAAACTTTATTATTTAAACATACATTATAATTAATTTCTTATGTATTTTCAGATACAAGTTTATAATTGTGCCGGACATGTATTGCACAATCTGATGTCTACAGATATGACTACATATTGTTCAGTCATAGAAGTACATCCCACTCAGGCTATTTATGTCGGAGGAAATGGATCTGGTCGTTTGCATATATTTAGCACCAAGGAACAACTAACATAAAACGTTTTTTTACTAATTTATTTATTTTTACTTTTTTATCTTAATATATAAGCAAACCAATTTTTTTTTACAACCACATCTTTAGTTTATTAAGGATTATATTATATCTAACCTAATTAAAGTAAAAAAAAAATATCATTCTTTTAGTGATATGCTGTAAAATATTAATATAGTAACATGTGCAATGTATATAAGTTGTAGCCTTGGCACATTATTTTACAAATATGTGGTTGCCTTTCTAATTAATACTACCTGTATTTTTTATATTTTTTATATTTTTTATATTTTTTTTAAATAATGTGACTGAAATTTGTTATAACATCTCCTGTGTGTATTAATGTTATACCATAACAAATAAAATACATTTGGAACACAGATTGTTATTGTTGCAGTAGAATATTATACTATATATTCAATCGATGCTATTATATGATCAAGTGTTCATTTGTTGTATTTTAACTATCAGAAATTTTACTGGTATTTTTTTAGTAACTACAATATTGGAATTTATCCTAAGATTGTTTTCAATGTTAGTTCTGCTATCAATGCAGACATCATTGTAGTATTATTTCAATAGACAGAAGTGTTTAACTTTAAATATGCAATTGTGATTATATTAAAAGCTGATTTAATATAAATGTATAGCCATAAATTAAGAAAAAAAAAACTGGAATTTACCTGCGGGGAAAACAGTATACAAGCATGCCTCATAATATTCCTATAGAAATGGTGTATGAATAGGTGGCTCATAGGGCAGCTTGTACTTTACCCTGATACAGTACCCACTAAACCATAAGAGGTCTGCATGGTTTTTTGCCATTGCCTGATCATTATTTCCAGTCTACTCTATCTTAGCCTATGGTTATATTATACTCTGTTCAAGATAAGAAACCCAAACAGCAGCCAAATTGTGCGCAGGGGCGTGGAAATACTACAAGGCAGGTGTATAGATTGGTGACTTGGTGGACAAATGGGTGTTACCTAAATGCCGCCGTTTAGATTTCTTATCTTGATCCGAGTATGCTTATAACCAACGATTGATAAAATAAGATTTTATTAAATTCAAATTTTGTAGATTATCAATATGGATTTTTTTTTTGGAAACTTATTTTTTTTTCATCAAACAGATCATATTATGTTCTCTATGGTATAATGAATTTAAAATTATTAATTTTTTAGAGTATAATAAGGAAAACCTTATATTACTAATTAGTAATTACAATTTTACTTCATTACAGAACATATTACTAGAACTTGCTCATTATCTATTTAGGTAAATTAAAAAAAATTATGTTATTATTGGTAAGTCAATAGAATGTCAGTCGAATTTTCCTTTTTTGAAGAAGAGGACAAAGGAATTGCTTACATAACAAAAAATTAAATAACAAATAGGTGAATGGAAATAATATATATCCCATAGCAATATATTGGTTACGTACATTTAAATATTCCAGGTGACAACAACGAAGATTAAATATTGACTTAAGCCAGACAAAACTTCAATGGCTGAATAGTTTGTTTCACATTGAAAATAAATACATTTTATTGCGATCACCGTTTAAGATCTCCAAGGTCTTCAATGTAATCTTCATCAATTTCAGGCCATTTTTCAGGTATTATATCAAACAGGTCATCTTTGACATCACCTTGTATGACAATTTCATCCTCGCCAGTCACGCTTGATCCACAAGCAAATTTAGTACCAAAAAATTTAGCCGCAACTTTTAAATCAATGTTAAATGTACTCAAGCCAGTTACAACAGTAACAGATTTCTTTTTGCCTCTTGGTGCTCTGGATAAACATACCTAAACAATGTCAATACATACATAAATTAACTATTTTTGACTTTTTGAGTTAATGAAAATGTTATTTTGAAGTCTGCTTACTTGTTTGGGTCCATCATCTTTCTTCTTTGACTTAACCATACCTTTTCCACCACGTTTTTGACGTTTTTTCTCATCAGAGTCATCACCTCCAGCAGTCCCAGTACATGTCATAATTCTATTAAACTCATCAGGTAAATACTTTTCAAGCCATTCCCGACAACGATCCGTGTCTGAGGAAAAGTCACAGTATTCTGGAGGAAGTGAACAGTTACCGCAATAAAAAACTTTCAGAGGATATGAAGGTTTGGAATTTGATTCTTCTTCAGCCATGTTTTTTTTAAGAATAATTTTGTTACCTACAAAAAAAAAATAGACATTATAATCAATTATTAACCTAGTATTGAAATTCTAATAATATGTATTTTATAAATATTGAGTTATTAAAATATTTTCATATTATTAACATTTAAAAAAAAAAAATCGCATTAATAATTTTAGGTTACACATAAGATAAAAAAGCCAACTACCTACAGTTAGTTAATAGGTAGATTGAAAATGACTTATAAACATTTTCAAAACTATCTAAATAAAAAGTTTCAAACTTCATCAACATGTGCAAAGTTTTTTCCTTGTGAGTTTTGAAATTTAGTATGTGTTATAAATGATCATAATCATTGTCATTGAGTGGAATATTTTATTTTTATTTTTTAGAAAATTTTAAAAATTGTTGAGGGATCTCAGCCCCCTTATCACTATTTGAGGCACTATACAAATTGCTAAACATTTAGTATAATAATATAATACTTAGAAGCAATACGACTAAAGAATATCATATACTTACTTTAAACGATGTATATTTTGTGTACAATTATTTACAAAGTCTAATGAAATTTCAATGATGAATAATTACAGACTAAAAATTTAAAAAATAGGGTTTAAGTTGAAAACAATTGTATAATAATCATTAATATAGAATTTCAATACAGTCTTATCAATTTTAAATAATCATAATCAAGACCGTGGTATAATCGATTATAAACATAACCTAAAGTATGACAACACCCATGGCTTAAATATACAAGGTTATTGCACATAGCCATTATTGTTATCAAATAAAATAAAATGGCAGCGTAAGGGTCACGATTCTTTATCAATTATTGTTATCACTTAATTATATAATGTATAATGTATATATTCATATAATATACAGCCAATCAAAACATCGCCCCTTACGCTGCCATTTTAATTTCTTAACAAGATAAAACGATTTAGTGGGGGTACTACTGCAATAACCTTGTATATTTAAGCCATGACAACACCAATATATCTATGACAACACGAACGATAAATTTTACATGGAACATGTACATTTTTTGGCGGTAAATCTACAAAACATTATCTACTATCACTCAAATAGTCAAATACTCAATAGGCTATAGGCCATACTCAAACTTTTCTTCAGTCTTGGCGTTTTCGGGACTTCAGCAATCAGCATTCTGTGGCTCTGCTCTACGGAATTGAACGTTTACATGCGACATTCCAAAACAGTCAGCAGTACATCCTGAATTCTTCATTCCAATTTCTTTGTTTGAATGTTAGGACATTCAGAATTAACGACAGACGGACTCTTGTGGAGTTTTTAATCACTTGGAATTTGTAAGTAATTAGTAAACAATTATTAAATAGATACCTACCAATAATCGTTTGTTTGATGTTTCATATTAATAAACATTAACAATTTCACCACAATTTCTAAGATCTTCGTATTGAACACCATAAAATGGATGTCAGTCTTTGCTATTATGGTTTTGGGATGTATCTCATGAATTAGGCGTAGGTATATAGGTTATAGGAACCAAATGCACTCTTAGATATTTATTCATTTATTTATATTTATGTGCAGACTGGGTCCATTTACAGCAATTTTACATTAAGTGGATTCCGTGGTTAATTTTTTTTTTCATCTTTTTTAGCAAAGTGGATCCAACTCGAGTATTTTTCTCCGTCATAATCTACAATTCATGATCAAACAACTATCAGAAATTCTGCAACATATTTAGATAGCATTAAAGTCAGTAAATTTAGGATTTGTTTTGAAATTTGGTTTAACAGTGGTTAATAAGTATTAAACATTAAATTAAACAGATGTATAAAACAAAATTTACGTACATATTATTTGCAATCATGGATACTGGTTTATTATCAGCCTGCCTGACCTTATAAAAATTGTATCGTCCCTCTCACCCATATAGTCGATATATTGCATATACTATTAGTGATCATCAATTAATAAAATAATTCAATGATTTTGGGAAAAAATGTACATTTGGTATATATAAAAACCTTCATCATGTCTCTAAGGTCTTAGCATTTTTTTTTCATCATAAATCATATCTTCATTATTAACGACTAGTTTGCCAAATCAATTAGAGAAGACATTGTTACCAATAATGAACAAATATATTATACCAGGTTCTATGTATTTTTCTGATTGCTTATAGACTATAGTAATTAAATTTGTAAGAACTAGGATTTCCACATATTTAAGTTATATTGATACAATTTGGTGAATCCTAACTTGGACGCCAACACATTAAATGTGGATATAATTTAGGATGATTTAGCAAATTAGTGCCATAAAAAACTCCAAGGAACAGTAAAAAATATATTTAGATTCCTATATGGTCAAATTTACGTGGCAATCAAAATTAAATGATAATTAACTATTATTTAATTCATTTTTAATTTTTGAAATTACCTACCTATTATAGGTATATTACAATTATATTATTATTAAATATGGTTTGTGAAATAATAACAAACTTAGAGTGATAGAGATACAGTTTTAACAACGAGTACAGGCATGGAAATAATAAACCAGCAGTTACTCAACATAGACATATAAATGTACCATTAAAGGTTATATGTCAATCATTTGTAGTGCAATTTTATAAGATGGTCTAGTGAATTTTAATTTTTAATGAACCATGATATTGTATTTTACATTTTACTCATTTTAGGATTTAAAATTTTTGGAAATAATTGAGGCGTTGACATGGAAAAAGTATTAAGTCAAAAAAATCAATTTTTCGTTTTTTCATTAAAAAAGTAGTAAATACATATGCCAATGGCCAGAGAAAAGAACCAACTCAAATTTCTTTTAATCTTAGTAATTACGTTGAACACAAGATGGTACTGGTCGTTTTTGTATTAATAAAATATTTTTAAAAAATTTATAAAACATTTATTAATTGTTACCTTTACTTTTTGTAGTTTGGATAGTGTTGGTATAATCCGTATTCTTTCCCATTAAATATTAATTATCTTTTTTTTTATTATTATTATTATTTACTATCTGTTACATAAAAATTTGATCAATAAGTAAAAGGGGATGAATGAATATAAAAAAAAAATGGCTTGGAGAAAAAACAGATTTAAGAAGCCTTCCAGTGAAGACACTTTGACATCTATTTATATACATTTTTTATGAGTTTACAAAAAAAAATATAAATACAAATCTTTTAATAATTAAAATTAAAATATTTTATATTAATATAATTTTCTTATATTACAGGAATTATAATTGTTATGGATTCTTTTCTAAAAACCGGAAAAATCAACCAAGATCAACAATCAACTAGCAGTGGTCTCAAGAGTAAAGATGGATCACGAGGAATTTCTAATAGCACCACACCTTGGGTGGAGAAATATCGACCTCGTACAGTTGATGAGGTATCTGAGCAGTCAGAGATTGTGGCTGTACTAAAACAATGTTTAGAACAAGGTGCCGATATGCCTCACTTATTGTTTTATGGACCACCTGGAACTGGTAAAACTAGTACCATAATTGCAGCTGCCCGCCAGCTATTTGGAGATATGTACAAAAACCGAATGCTTGAACTTAATGCATCTGATGATCGTGGTATTCAAGTTATTCGAGATAAAGTTAAAACTTTTGCACAGCTTACAGCTTCTGACCGAAGACCAGATGGTAAACCTTGTCCGCCATTTAAAATTGTTGTGTTAGACGAAGCTGACTCAATGACAGCACCTGCTCAAGCAGCGCTTAGGCGTACCATTGAACGAGAGACAAAGACTACTAGATTTTGCCTTATTTGCAATTATGTGAGTTGCATTATTGACCCATTGACATCTCGTTGCTCCAAATTCAGATTCAAACCTTTATCGCATGACATAATGCTAACTCGTCTTGAGCACATATGTAATGAAGAAGGAGTAAAATGTGCACCACGGGTGCTGGCACGATTGGTTGATGCTTCCGGTGGAGATATGCGTAGGGCAATTACATCACTCCAAAGCACAGCTAGATTGAAAGGAGAAGATGGTATTGAAGAAGTAGATGTTCTAGAAGTGGTTGGCACTGTTCCAGACGTCTGGTTAGATCGTATGATAGATATGGGTCGCATGTACGACTATCAAAAAATGGATGGTTTTGTGGAAGATCTAATATTTGAGGCATATTCAGCATCTCAGATTTTAGAGCAATTGCATGATAAAATAGTGTTTTCAACAGATTTAAAAGACAATCAGAAGGCAATAATTTGTAAATCTATAAGTATTTGTGCTTATAGACTACAAGAAGGTTGTAGTGAATATGTCACTCTTTTAAATCTATTATGTTCAGTTGCTAAAGCATTAAAAGGTTAAAGTCATAGACGTATTGTAATTTTTTTTTTCATATTTATTAAATTCATATTTTTACTTTGAACTATAAAATAAAAAGGATATACAGGATATCGATATTTTTTTAATCCTATATTTTAATAATTCATCCATTACTTTCCACAACTACACAATGTAATTCCATTACACTCGGTGTTGCTTTTTAAAAGTATTTGAGTAATTATTTACAATTTTTATATTTAAATTTATAACAATATCTATCACCTACCATAAATTTACAATAAATATTAAATACATGATATAATTTGTAGCACAATAATCAATATGTAGTATGTAAAGATAACAATTTAAATAAAAACTTAAAAAGGAAATCTTAGCCCTAAGGTACCTAGGTAATATTCCTTCTAGACCCTAGCTCTTGTCTGTGACTGAAATTTAATACAGTATTTTAGTACTTATCAATATTCAATGGTATGGAGATCTTATAAATACTATATTCTCATTATTGAAGTCTGTAAGTGGTTCGTATAATCAGTCTTCAGTAGTAACTAGTAACATAATACAAATTATTATGATGCAATTACTTTTTCAGTAACGCAGCAGTAATTTCATTACATTTTACTTAAAGTAACGCAATTGTAACAAAATTACTTTTGAAAAGTAATTTCTATGAAGTAATGCACTAATGTGTTATTTTCCAAAATAATAGTTTTGAATGTATTACAGGTGTAGGATATCCCAGAAAAATTAAAAATCAATTAAATTTATTTTTGTTTCCGATAATAATTATAGTTAACAATATTACTAAATATTCCAGAAATAAATGTTATCAATTTATTAGCAGAAAAAAAAGAGTTCGGTTTAAAAATAAAATTTAATAAAAATTAATTATGATTTATGACTTGACTATATATCTATATAGCCATATAGGTGAGATGATTGTAAATTCGTACATAATACTAAAATAGGGTTATTATCACTAAGTTTATGATTGTATTAATGTATTATATACATAATAATTGAATATTATGGATAAAAAAGTAAAGGTTATTTGTAAAGCACTACTTTATTAATGAAAAAGTAATGTAATGTGATAAAAATAATTTTAGGTAACGCATATGTAATTTAAATAAAAATATTTTGAGTAACGAGTAACGTAATTTCATTACTTTTTAAAAGTAATTTACCCAACACACCCATATAATATAGGTACTATGGAACCCGGAAGGCATATGAATTAAAGGAACTGAAGCATACCATGTTTTAAGGAGTAATGTTTAGGTATTTAATAATTAATATTACATGTAAATTTTGGTGTGTGAGAAGTAAATGAACATTAGTGTGTGTAATCGGTTATCTCACTTTTCGCGATTAAATTTGAATTTTCGGATTTAGGATAAAAATCCAAATAAAAAAAGGAAAAAGGAATATTACATTATTACCTATTATTATTTGTCTATACTCTATATCAGGGGTCTCCAAACTACGGCCCGCGGGCCGGATACGGCCCTCGAACAAGTTTTAACCGGCCCGTGGCCCGCTAGGATGCATAGGTAAATAAAAAATTATTTCAAAAATGTATTTATATTATATTATATTTATACTTATTTATTTTTATTTAAGTATATTGTAAAGTAAACAATATTTTATACAAAAATATAAAGTAAAAATATTATTTATATAGGTAGGTACCTAATATATTATCATAAAATTAAAAATTATATGTGTTTAAAAACTTTTGGCCCGCTAAGAGCATTTGATTTTTTTGTGGCCCTTGAATAAAAAAGTTTGGAGACCCCTGCTCTATATAACTACTATAAATATTCATTCATAACATCGTCGTACTCGTACCCGCATTATAAAAAATATTAATTATATATCAAAAATTAATTTACATAAAATAAAAATATTAGCTATTGATAAGTATATTAATTTGTTTCAAAATTTGACAAAATTAATTAAAATCTCGAAAATTTGCAAATTATTTTCTAGTTAAAAATTTATAAATTTTTCAGTTTTCAATCCTTGGCTATATAAACATTATAAAACCAAGGATTGAAAATTTAAAACAAGGTATCTAATAAGTAGCTTACTATATAGTTTATACAGTCACCTTAAAACACAAAAAAATATATAGGTAAATATTAAATACAATTTTAGATTCTGAGCGGTGCATGTAGTTCCATCTACCCTTGTCGTTTAGAACTTAACAACTCGTAGGTGGAGAAACTTACCTTCACTGCCGCTCAACTTGTCCAATAGACAGAGGTGCCGTAAGACATTTTTGTATATGATTCAATTTTCAGATATTAATATTGACCCAATTATATAAATATGACGCTGTTTATACGACGATAATAATAATATGATGAAATCGTTATAGGGATATCTAGTCTTGGTTTAACCTAATCTAACCCAGTAACCCTAATCCAACGAATGCAACATCGCGTGTTATTATATGAGTTATATTATTTTTTCTTGCTATAGGCAAACCAAGATCTCTTAAAAATAAAGATGCTTATTAGAATTTAAAAAGACGCCGTAACTTATTTTTGATGTATCAGCAATAGTGTACGTCGTTTAGCTGTTTCGTTGGTTTTAAATATTTTAATATGAGCTAATGAATTATTGACCTTCGTGTTATCAAATTTAAAGGTTTACAATATTGTTTGCGTTTTGTTGTCACTTGGAATCGTTTTTATTTCGATATTAAAATTTTTGAAACGATTAACATTTTTGAACTTTAATATTTTGGCATATTGTGTTTGATATCGGAAAAATACTTTCAACGAGTTAAACACAGATAATGACACAATTTTGATACCTTTAAGTTTATATAGGTCAATTGAGCGAATTAATATTAGAGCATAATATTAACATTTAAAACATTTTTAGTAAATATTTGTACATCAGCAGGTAGATGAATACGGATATCTATGGAATCTATGGATACGGCTATACTATCTCAATTTCTGAAATTATATACAGGCACCACCTAAATGGCTAAATAGCTGTCTTAGTATTTTTGCTTATAGTGTTAGTGGCAGTGACTTATTCATTAATCATTTATGTAGCATTGTGTGACAGTGTGAACTGTGAAGTGACATATTATCGCGTGAACTGTGAAGTGCTACAAAACTATTGTTCTATAAAAAAATATAGTAATGCCGCGTAAAATAATATTATAATGATTATAATGTATAAATGTAATGATAATAATACGTAATTTCAGTATTTGAGATTATAACCAATAATCATTATTACAGAATTAGGTACTAAGCTATTATAGTATTGAGACATACCTATTAAATTATGTAAATTAACGTAACTATTAATTATCATATATACATTCAGTCATTTAAACAGTGTTTTAGTAAATACTTTTAAAAGGTACCTACCACTATTCCAAATATTATATACAAATATAGTATCTGTAAAACTACTCAAATTAAGATTACCTATAGTTAGTGTCGACTGTCAATGTCAAAAATGTGTTTGAAATTTTAATAAAAAATGTATAACAAAGTATAAGGTACATGGGCGGATAGGCCTACCGGGAAACCGGGAATTTCCCGGTGGGCCCCCCTTCGTATTTCGGTAATGGGGCCCTTTAATAAAATAAAATTACCTACAATAGAAATAATTTGAAATATCAAATAAAATATTATAATCTTATATCAGTTATATCTCATATACATTACTATCTGTGGTCTTTTTCAAAACATTTCTTATCGGCTCGCAGCCGCCGCGCTCTCACAACTACAACGTCGGTTAATGGTTGAATTGAGTGGGTCACGGTTGAAACTGGTAACTGGTGAGGTGGGTAATCACTCACAAATCGGTTGTTGTAGATACTATTTTTAGAATAATCTAAACTAAACATTGGACTTCAATGCTATCGTGTATTTGTGTGCGGTAATATAATGTAATATTTACTATTTTACCGATATCTTATCACAAACAAATTGTAGAATTATAATAAATTATTATACACTTATTGCACTATTGCAGACATAACGTTTCTACTAACTCGCGGTTAATCGTTAGTCATTTTTCTTGATAGTTTAAGTTATATAGTTGATCAGTATTCAGTGTTATATATTATATTCCTTAGTTCTTACACATTGCATAGTACATACAGACATACAGTTAAAACAGACGTTTACGTGGTGTTTTATTTTTTTCAATGGGCAATTCCAAAAAATTACATAAAAGCGGAAGTTCTAAACTAAAAAAAAAGGAGAAAGAGTTGCTTAGAAAGGAAGGTCAAAACCCTAATCAAAAAAAATTAAATTTTGTAAAATCAAGTAAGTACTCACATTGGTTATATTATATATTATATTGTATATTAACTAAAATTACACTATATTTTATATAGATATCCTAATATCATTAGGTATTACATTTGATAGGTAGCAATTGGCAGTATAAAATAAGTAGGGTTTGTCAAATAAATATAGGTACTTAAAATATTTAAGACACAATTTGTGTTCTGAATGTGTCTATTATATTTATAATTTTTAACATTATTTGAAGTATAAAAACTTAACTTAAACACTTGTATAATTAGATGTACTTAATTGATAATTGATGTTGTTATAATATATTTATATTATAGATATATTATGCATTTTTTATATGCTAATATAACAGACAATTTTTCAAATCATACTAAGCTAGAAGGTAAATTGATGCATTAATTGTATTGTATTTAATTTTGGAATAATGTTAAGACTTCAGAATTAGTTTAATTAAAAAACAAAATTATAATAATATAAAACATTAGATATATTATGTTTTAACTGAGTAATTTTATAAATATACTTTCCACTTTTCATCTTTAGGTGACAATAATTTGAAAAAATGTAGCAGTAGTGTAATTGAAAATGAAAGAGAAAATCTGAATAGTGATAATGGTAATTTCTAGTTATTTTTCTATACTTATTTACCTAAACTATTTTAAAAATGAAAACTTCCCTTTCTAGATGTCAATTCTTCAAAACAAGATATTAAAGATATTGAAA